TTACAAACTGTTTATCGATTCGTCATAGAATGACTAATTTTTCTAGAATAGTAGTCTCCGAAAAGGGGAGAAACGTGACGCATTTCTTAGCAATCGGATATGAAGCCTCCATGCTGCGTATTACTGCAGGAGTACTCTCGTGAACGTATACTCATTTTCCAGATGCGTCATACAATCTCAGATTTACGGTGATATCAAAACAATTGGTTATGTTGTTATTTCGGTGGTGATCACCAATCGCAACCCCATCGGGCCTCAACGTCGATGACCGCTAGTTTTTGCACACCAACGCAAGCCTTCGCTATCTAGAGCACCACTCACAGTCACACTCAGCCTGGCTCGCCGAACGAAGCTTTATTTGGACCTTGAGATAGTAGCCTTTTTTACATACTTCTACTTTGGTCGAAACTATTGTCAGGATATTAATTAATTTACAGTGAAGTTTCAACACAGTATTTCCAGATTAATTGAGCCGAAAAAAAAATTGAATTCGCTATTGGCTAAATGTAAATATTCCCTAGCAAAAGAAATTAATTCATTTTGCACTCCATAATGTATAACAAAGGTGTTCCGAAGAAGAAAGATATCATTATGGACTCTGTCGGCCACGGCAATTAGGAGAGTAGAGGACGCATATTTAAAAAAAAGAAAAAAGGTATAATCCACATTAATATGTAATTGCATTCAAAATCCTAAAAATATGTTCATATTTATATATTGTTTTTTTTAAATCATCTATTACTATGACATAATTAATATTCATTAATTGTATAGTAGCTCGGTGGCGTAGTGGATAAGTGCCGCCGCCCGCGATCGTTGTCGTTAAGCAACTTTCGCAAGGGTCGGTCACGGGATGGGTGACCAAAAAGTTATTATCTCGAGCTACTCCGTGCTTCGGAAGGCACGTTAAGCCGTTGGTCCCGGCTGCATTTGCAGTCGTTAATGCCCCCCAATCCGCATTGGGCCAGCGTGGAGGGTCATGGCCCATCCTCCTTAAACATCCATAAGGAAGGCCTGAGCCCCTGCAGTGGGGACGTAAAAGGGCTGATGATGATGATGAATTCTATAGTAATGTTTTGTCACTAACAAATTCTTAATATGTTAAATGAATCTATTTTCTTGGGTAATGCTTTTAAGGGGGCGTCCATAAATTACGTGAGGTGTTTTTTTAAATTTTCTGTCCCTCCCTCCCCTCCTGGTGAGATGTCGTGAGATTTTATTCAACCCCCTCCCCCATCCACCGATCTCACGTGAGATTTTTCAAAATTGATGAGTACTTGCGAGTAATTACCTTATTGTAGTATCGAGGACTCAGTATCGAGTATCGCTTTTGAAAGTATCGATACCTACTCGGTATCGAAAGTATCGTTCGAACCCTACAAATATGGTGGTTTGACATTCAGTAGATGTATAAGCGTCGAAGTATGAATGAAATTATTTTCTTTTGAACGAATTAGTGAATGATCTTAATCATATACCAGATTGTACATGCTTAAGATGAAATCTTAAATCTTAAGCATGTACAATCTGGATTAAATGGACCGAAATAGTTTTTTTTTTTGTTTCGTTTAGAAAAAAATTGCGTGATATTTGCCGAGACCCCCCTCTCTCCAACGTAAGATTAGATGAGATTTGCTTCGACCCCTTCCCCCCCTTAAACATCTCACGTAATTTATGGACGCCCCCTAATTGCACTCGGAGATTTGTCAAATATTCTTGCTGCTATGACTAGTGCGCCAGAGTGGTAAAGCTGCATGCATGAAGCCGGCAATATTAATTAAAGATACGAATACATACAAATTATGTTAATGATGATAATATTTGTAAATTGAACTATTGTTCCTTAAAACATTTAAATCACAAATTTTATAAAGGTGTCAATTCTAAGCATATACGGTCAGTTGCACAAACGTCAATTAAGGTTTAATGAGGACTTTAAGCTCTAATGAATGTTCTAAACTAGAAAAATTTTATGGGTAATGTGGCATTAAACAAATAACAATTTTAATGGTTGTTTGTGCAACTGGCTGTTAGACATCTTAAAATAATCCATAATATAAAACCACCTATGAAAAAGACTAGTTTTCTCTTCCAAATTAAACATCTTTTTCGGATATAGGTAATTTGATATGTTCTACAGTTTGTAAGAATGGCATTGAACATAAGATTAATTATTCATGAAACATACATCGTATGTGTTTATGATTCGACGATCACAATATGAATGAATTATGTGTAACAAACGAATCACTTTTTTTTACATAGAAGAATTATCATGAAGTTACTCCAATACTTCACCGTTTCCGATTTCTTCTCGTAATATTTTTTTTTTTATGGGGAAACATTGATACATAATGTGAGTCACGTTGTAGCTAAGGGCCAGATGAATCATTTTTACAGTAATCGTCATTGTTTGCGAGGTATTAATTAAGAACAGTTTTATACGAGCAATTCGCCATCCTTTGTCCGTATCTTGTCACTGTTAGGTGCAATAAGATAGGGACAGTCGTTTGTGGTTAGGGACAGTCGGTTGTGTTTTCGCCCAGTCTGATTTCGATTGTGCAACTGGTTGTACCAGTTGCACAATCGCTCATAAAATTTTTTATTAGTTTAAATCGACATTACCCCATACAAACTTGACATTCATTAGAGCTTAAAGGCGTCATTAAAAACCTTAACGGACGTTTGTGCAACTATCGTTAATCTCGCAACACTTAAAGGTGAAGAGAAAATTACTCATTCGCGAGGCCAGTCATGGAGGCATATGATGTTAATACGCGTAATAAAGGCTTTATTTACTCGATAACTATTATGATTATAGTAAAATCAAAAATAGCAAAAAAGTGCATTTCATCGAAATTCAATTTGTATGTGCTCCTTAATAGTAAATTAACAAGTGTTGAATAAGTACAAATTTACAATTGTTTTTTATCAATGTTAAGTCCTTCGACACGATTTATCTCGCTGGAATTTTATACTTATTTATTATTGAGTAATTACAACATTCCTCATATTTCACTACTTTATTGCCAGTCGGTTTTTTTTTTATTTCATGTTCGCCGTTGTTACCATAATAATTCTAGTTTACATTATCAGCGACAAGACGCTATCATGAATTTAAGCACCGAAGGCACCGCGGCTGATAACGGCGCGCGCGCGGTGTTTTCGCGCACGATTCGTGCGGTAGAGCGCCCCGCGCGGGCCCCGGGTGAACGGCCAGACAGGCGGGCGGGCGGCCGGCCGTTAAACCTGCTGCGGACTCGTCCTGCGGCCTCGCGGGGCCCGCACCACGATATTCGCACCACCGCGTCAATGTCACCTCATCTCTCTTGCAGCTCAGTAACGTACGCAAACAATACAGATTACACTGTGAAATTTGATGACTCACTTTCACCCTCCACGGTGTAATACTGTCGCTTTGCCAACAAACATAACGATTCAGAAGAGCCCGAAATATTTGATAGGACTGCAAAATTTTATCTTTCCGATAAATTACATACATCGATCATTTCGCGAGTTTCACGTCAAAGACCTTTATCGCCTTTACCTACTTTTTTTCAGACATTCTTAGTATTGATATGGCGCTAATCTGGGCGTCAATGATAATATCAACACGCTAAGGTATGTGATGTCTGCACCATGTTTTGCAAGTTGATTTAATTAAGCATTTTTTCGTCTTTATTGTAATCATTATATTTATTGGATGTATATCGGATACTAAGCAGACTATAGATCATATAATGCTTTCACACTTTTTCTTCTTTTCCGAAGTGCCGTTCGGGTCGAGGCGATGCAAAATGGGTAGTCCCTGTGTGTTTATGCGGCGAACCGAACCCTCCTGGCACTATGAAAATCTACTAGATGCATTATTCTTCTACCTAAGTGCTTAATAGAAAAGCTTTTGAATAATTCACTAGTCTGAAGATTGCTAATAAAAGCGTGCTCGACAAGATGGTGGCGGTCGATATGTAAAGATGCGATCTTGGAATAATATCCTGGTGAGATTGTTTACGGTGCGGCTTTCGGTCGGATTGCGTTGTAACGGTCGCCGGAGCTCAGACTGGTAGGTACATACATTGCACACACAGGTGGTGTGCAACGAATGTCTGCGTTCATTCTTTGTTTGTGCCGAGGATTTGCATACAAGAAATTGCGTTGCTGACAGCAAACCAAAAAAGTACTTAATGAAAATTACTTAAAAAAAATGTCATTGCAAAATTGATTAAATATAATAAAACAGAATGTATTCATGTAAAGCTACATGTATTCAAGCAATCATACAACTTTTACGGGAACGTTTCCTGTGGTGCTTTCGTGAAAAACATTCAATTAGACCTTTACCTATAGAGTAAATAATCTTAACTGATTACTTTTCACACAATACACCGCATTGTTCGTTGCGATCCGCTCGCTTATGATCGTAATGTTTATCGATCAATGCACAGTTTTAACCATCGATGTATTCGACGTGTTTGTCATCTGAATCACGTGGCCTTCCGGTTGGTTATTACTGGCTGACGCTGGCCAAGCGCGTTAGTTGTAACGGACTGTCCGCGCGGGCATACCGTCGCAATCGCGCCGAACGCTAAGTACGTATAAACATCGCCACGTGTATAAACATTGTTTCACAACAAATACACGACGCCGCCCGCCGGTGACGCGCGCAAGGACGCGCCGGCATCGACTATGCGGACCCACCGCGCACCTGTCACTCACGATATTGTTGTTCTAACCGAAGATCCAGCGCCAATGGATCTGAAAAAAAGCAAATGTCTAAATGATACCAGACGCTAAAAAAACTGCAACGCCGCTCACGGTTCAGGTGCCGGTACAACCGCTTACAAAATGATGTTTACCAATCTACAGATAATGCTACGAGTGCCTCTTTGTTTTATTAATATAATATACGTCTTGTGTGGTCTTTATTGCTCTTTTGTTTTGAGACAAAGCTTTCGTGTATGGTGATAGTGTTTGAAAACCTCTGTTAAGTGTTTTAAGTGATGACTACTCAATCGGAAAGCGAAACGGGCGCCAGTAAGTGTATGTTACATTAATATTTTTCAAACTAGTTTCCAAAGTGACTTCACCGGCGGCAATGCGTCAGGCAAACCTAATGGATTCTTCGAATTCTCGGTCAGAGAATTGCGCAGTTACATTCAATGACGGCTATGTTAGGTCGTGGGTACATGCTGAAGTAACGCCGTGGTTCAATATGACCTTGCCGGCTACTAAGTTGACGACCAATCTGAAGCCCTTCTCGTTATCAAAGGAAAATAGTTTTGACACTTAATAATATTTGTGATTGCATAACTATTTTTATTAGAATTTTGTTTTACTGTATCTATGTGGCGGGCGGTTGATTGTTTTGTTACTAAGAACTGATTGTTGTTTAATATCTGTATATATCATACCGTAACATGTTTGTTTGCTTTGTGATAACAGTTTATTACGCTTTCCTATTTGTTTGTTACAAATTATTATTAATATATATTTTTTATGGAATAGACGGACGTCTTCTTTCTTAGTTTTCTCTTAGGATTTATGAATCATTTCAATGTACGTAAATGAATAAATCATAATTGCAATTTGATCTCTTAACTATGTTTGATTAGTCATAACTTCATTAGTTGTCATATGTGGCTTAACGAGCTGCATTGCCATCCTCGAATGGTGTCGGCGGGCGGTATCTTGCACCTCTAATAGGGTCACCACTTTTTTTAATATTACAGGTATTATTTTATTCTGTAATATTTTTATAATTTTTATTATATACCTACCTATTCTATTTTACGTTTTTATTAAATTTGAATTTATACATTATTTGGGTTCCAGTTTAGTCACAAAAAATCTTAACTGAATTAATTAAATAAAACTGAAAAAATAGGCAGCTATAGAGTGTAACTCACTTCACTACGCAAAAAAAATTATAGGAGAAGGAATCAATATAAATAAATTATCCAATCTGACTTGCCCTTACTAATATTGTCCGATATTTACATTGTTGTATATAGTAGCTTCATACACGGTACTCGATAATAATGTATATGGTATTATTACAGCTGATAACTAGTGATGACCCTGCTCCCACGCCAAACTGGGCAACTAGTCGCATTCCCCGCATACCTCGCACAGGTTGTCGGCCGCACGAGGCCGGTTCCGATACAGACGTAGCGGCTATAGCACCATGGTCTAATCTTATACCCACAACTAGATTTCCATGTTTGCTTTAAGCGCTGAATGATTTACTTGGAGACATTGAAATATATCTTATTTTAAATAGTAGTTTTTTTTTTAATTGATGTAACTTACCGCGTCTGCGCCTAGGTAAGTTATAGCCCTTATATCCGCGTATGATATAACTTCCCTTTAGTAAAAGATTTTTTGTCGGTCTAGTAGTTACAAGCCTATGAATATGAAAAATAATTATTTTTTAATTATCTAATATATTCAAGTGTTTTTCAGTTCGCTGAAAATATTGGCAAAATGTATATCCTAATTAATATATTAAATTTACTTGATTCATGCTTTGTGGATTAGGTAATTTTTCACAATTTATGTATGATTAAGACAATAAAATCAAAAATTACGATTACAACATGTAATTTTCAATAATGGGTGATTAAAAAAAAGTTTAATTCTTATTTAAAGAAGCAATTCCTTAGAATTCACTCACGAGTTATATAAACGTTGCAGGTAAAGTCACGTTCTAGCTGCAACCTTGATTCGGACACTTTAATATTGAATAAATATAGGAAGCTTCAAATTCGAAAATTCACAATTGTTTTCGCATAGAGAATATGAATAAACAAGCGACATGACTTACGTGGAACGATGTATAATTCATATTCAAATTGTTCAGTTCACATTTAATGCGTTCTTATAAGTAGTTTTTCATCGGTTATTTTTAGGTATTTATTTTTAGCATGTAGATAATATACGTTTTGCTTTGTTTTAAAAAACTACCGACCTTTTTTTGAAACAAGTATTATTATGATTTATGTATTTTGCATTACCTGTTGTCTATACACTAGGTTGATAATGAGGGTGTTAGGGAAAATTGTCTGTGTATAAGTTCCGATTTTGTTTCTTATGTAATAAGAATAAATGATAATTTTTAATTTTAAAAATACGTCATCGTCTTTGTTTGGTTCTCCGTGTTTATAAATATCTGAGTGTTGAATTTTTTTATGCTCAAAGGAATGGTAATTCTGTCTTTGGAACATTTTGGCATCATCTTTTCGTAGTACCGTCATAAAAAAAAATTATTTTATCAAATGATTTTAACTTACGGTGCTCGATGTCAGTTTTTAATCTATAAAGACGATAGCTAACTTATAATCAAATATTAAATGACAAATTTATACAAAATCTCGATGCGTCTAAGATAAAGTTCAAACTCGATTGATATAATTATGTTTTTGAGACCTAACTGCTGATGTGTGTACTGGACAGACATCCAGATAATAATAGACACCGATTAATCCGTTAATTTAACGTACACAAGCGTTATGATACTAATAAGCGGATGCAACCTGGTTTTCAGTCGACATGATCCAGTTTTAAAGCTATTTTATCTCATATTAATTAACCTGACATACAGATGAAATTCGATTTATCTTTTATAAAAAATAATCAAAATGAGTAGCTCGGTGGCGTAGTGTATAAGCGCCGCGGCCTGCGATCGTTGCCGTTATGCAACTTTCGCAGGGGTCGGTCACGGGATGGGTGACCAAAAAATTAGTATCTCGAGCTACTCCGTGCTTCGGAAGGCACGTTATGCCGTTGATCCCGGCTGCATTTGCAGTCGTTAATACCCTCCAATCCGCATTTTGCCAGCGTGGAGGGTCATGGCCCATCTTCCTTAACCATCCGTAAGGAAGGCCTGAGCCCCTGCAGTGGGGACGTAAAAGGGCTGATGATGATGAAAAAATAATCACGTATAATCACGTGTTTTATTTTATTTTATTCTTTTTTAGTATTTGTGAAAATTTCAGTCTATCACGGTTAATGAGAAACAAAATAACTGCCGAATCTTAGTAATTGGTCCCGTTTTGACCCTTTGAGTACGGAACCCTAAAAGTATACAGATACCGTACTTCCTGAAAATTATAGTATGTTCTAGTGTTTGAAAGTCTCGTAACGCTAAAGTCGTTATTGCGCTTCAGTTTCCCAATAAACTACGCAGTTGCATGTAGCTTGCGGTAACGTAGCATAGTAAAAATCAGGTAGTACGTTGACTTCATACATACGCACTGAAAGTGGCAACTCGCCAATGGTGCCATATCCTTGCATACTCTGCGCCGCTTGACTATGCATTTCTGATGATTGAATAACCCGTAACCCGTGACAGCCCTATGTGTTAAGGCTATTATCTGTCGCACAGAGCTCGAGTCGTCGTACTGTTTTGGTTTTACTATGGTGTTAGCGACGATAGCTGCGCGTGTTGTGCGCATGTACAATTGTAAGGCCTTAACAATTTACTAACGTCTTGAGACAAAAACATGTCAATATATTGTATGATATTATTACTCTAATATCGGAAACGGGAAACACAATTGGCTACTAATACTAATGAAAGTAATAAAACCAGATTTTCGTCGTTTCAGTACATAACGTAAATTCAATTTATGTTTATAAGCGGTTAATTAGTCTGTGGTTATCATTTAACATGATTTTATTATTACACTTTCTTTATTTACTTTATGTAATCGATGATTCATTAAACACATGGGGACACCCACCCACTAGGAAAAAAATTTGGTGTCACCCTGCGAATATCACTGTTATTGAAAACTATTGTATGTATGAGCTTCGCGCCAGTGATCTTGTATTATATGTTGGGTGTAATACGCTTGGCATATTAGAGTAGAACACTACACCGATATAGAAAAACAAGAGAAATATAAAGAAGTAATGAAGCGAGGCCCTTGTTGGTCGGTCCACCATTCTCACCAGTACCGCGCCGCCCGCACCTCTTGCACCAATCGTCCTGCTGCCACGTATATATAGCCGCGAAATCTTTAACTCAAATGTGCATACAGTATTGCCAATTCGATATGTAAGGTAAATGCTAGATAATCTCTCAAAAAGTACTAGATTGCAAGGGATATCCAAAAACAGTCCTACACATATTTTTCACTTATGCAAAAAATAAAGAATAACACAACTTACGTATTTGCTTTTTTTTATAATAATTTGTAACATAACTAAAGCCATTCTTCTTCGCTGTAAGAATCTTCTAGAACGGGTTTTTTTCATGTAGGGTCGTGCGTGGGACAGTGAAAGATTGAAATATCCAGATTTCTAATTTATTTTTCGTGTAAGAGACGTCGTTCGTCTTTCTTAGTGCCGACCTTATTAAAATAGTGCCAGATCTCTAGCACCGAAAGTGCTAAGTTGACAACACTTTGTGAATAATACTATATTGTCATTGACTTTTGTCACTTAAAAGAGAGCCAAAAGATTACCTTTCGCTCTAATTGCGCTTACTACGTCAATCAAATAGGTACGAACGGAGAATGGCGTATTATATATACGTCAAAATCGATTTTCAATAAATCACTTGTCCGGTAGTTTTCTTAATTTGAATAAAAATTTATTTTTGGACGTCATTTCTTTGTATGAAACCGGTTGGTAATGATTTTAGGTGTACGCGGTCTGTTGATCGTGCGGCTATCCCGCGCGCTTATTTGGACCGTGCGTCGTTATACTCATACATGCCGACGTCTTTGTTCGGGACGTTAAAGTGTCACGAATGCCTATGCAGCTTAAAGACGATGTAGTTACGCAATTAACAATACTTTTATTATACCACTCATTAGAAATGTATTTTTAATATTCCATTTTCGATCATCTATTCTGCTGAAATAAAGTCTTCCTTCTCATCGCATCGTGTTACTTATGAAGTTCCCGTTAAAGTTAAAGGGAACCCTATTACTTTTACGCAATTGGCGAACTATTTTAGATATATCTTGATATAGTTAGGGGATAAGTAAGAGGTGGAGAAAAATGCCAATGTAAAACCAAAATGTAATATGAAAACCAAATACTAGTAGTTAATCTAATCCAATTTTTAATCAGTTAGTAAAAATTTAAGCACCTCAACTATTCATTAATAAAAACGATTTTTTAATAACGCGACGTTCAACAGACTTTCTGAGAAACAAAAGTCACCAAAACAAACGGGGTGAGCCATGAGTGTTCACTGTTTTATTATGAAATGTCACGTCGTGCCAGACGGTACATAAATAAGACTAAATTAACTTGTCTGCGACCTCTGGATTGAACTAGTAAAGTTCACATTCGTACCTCGGATCACAGGCAAGTTTAATTTGCCGCTATAATTATATTTACATTATTTAGATGGATGACGTAATTTCTGAATATTGTCTAATGTTTTTCATTTCTAGTGGCATTAATGACTACAAATGCTGCCGGGACCAACTGCTTAACGTGCCTTCCGAAGCACAGAGTAGCTCGAGATAATAATTTTTTGGTCACCCATCCCGTGACCGGCCCTTGCGAAAGTTGCTTAACAATAACGATCGTGGGCCGCGGCGCTTATCCACTACGACACCGAGCTACTATTTTTGAATATGTAAAGATAATAAAGCATGTACGTTCGACTTTTGCCGACGCCAGGACGCAGTCTAAAAATTTAACAAATGCATTATACAATAAAATAAAAAAATGACATTCAAAATTTCGGTGATCTTGTAAAAGATTTTGTATGATTAATAATATATAATTTTTCGTAGCTGGATGTTACGGTCTTCCGAAAGGTTTTTCCGTTGGGAGCTTCAATTTTCATAATGTATAATACATTTTCAGAGCGAGTGGAAAATTTCATATTTTCATGTGAGTTACAACTCTCCAATTCACGATTTTATAGGACCGTTTAGGGAATTGATACAGTTTCTTCAAAAGCTTCATTCGTTGTGAGTAATCGGTATTAACTGGTGAAATTAACAATGTTTAACTGCTAATAAGAGTATCAATTTAGGTGGTTGTGAAAATTTTCATTGTAAGTTTTAGATAAATTACATAGGTGATGTTATTAAATGTTATACATTGCTCTTATCGCAAGCACATCAGCAAGTATTTAGCAGATTCTGAATCTGAATTATCTATTTACATCGCAGTTAACTAAGAGCTACTAATACCATTATAAACGCGAAAGTTTATAATGATGGATCTATTATGTATGGTTGTTAATAATTCCCGAAAAATTACTAAACGGATTTTGTTGAAGTTTAAGGATAAATTAAAATACGTTTATGGGTAAAATACTTTTTATCCCACTTAAACTGTTGACTAAAAATAAATGTACGTTGTCATTGTTTAAAATCACATGGTTGAAGCCGATGGCGACACCAAATCTGATAATGTTCTCATAATTTAATTGAAAGAAATGCATTTTCTAACCTCAATATTAATAATGCAACGGCGTCTCGTCAAAACAACAGTGACGAACGTTACTGGTATTAGTAAAAAGAACGGTACCAAATATAGAAGTTATTGAAACGCTATTGACACACCATAATTAAGTTAACGTTAAAAATATATAGGCACCGTAAAGGTTATATTTATTTCAATAACACGCAATCCATCATGATAAATCCTCAGCGCAACCCACCGCGCTAGCCCAATGCAAATTAGTGGGTATTAACAACTTTAGCCCTGTGGCCTAATTGTTTTATTTTAGAATGTATCACAATCGGTTTGAATTTGACAGTTGAAAGATAATCACGAACTGTTTGCTACAACTATTTGACGTGTGATAGTAATTGTTATCGCGATATTTTTTTTTTTAAATTGAATGAACGGTAATATTCATTTGGCGTTAATCGAAACTGTCCAGGCAAAGTCATGTTTCTGTAATCTGTAATGTAATATGGATCATTGGGTCTGAAATAATAATAATATAGATTTATTATTATTATTATTTTTATTAAAGTGATAGTTACAAATACCTTTATTAAAAGCATTGGGGAATGTCAAACGAAATGAATTGTCTAATGACATTTCCATCATTCAAATCATCATTCGTTCCACAAGCGATTCTGGCTTTAAAAGTTATACAATTCCACAAATCACTAACAACCGCTTTATCTTCGAAAGGTATTTGTGATAGATTTTTAAATAAGACAATTAGGTGGTTTTATAATAAGACGGAAAGTGGTTTGACAATACTGTTTGCGAAAACAAAACATTTTAATTCAAATATAAATCTTAACCTATACGGCGTGGGTGATCAGTTGAATTTAATTTGTCATGGAAATCCATATATTATGCCATCAAGTGGGCTGAAATATTATACGTCGACAACCTCGATCTTTTAATGTTACTTTTTATTAGAAACTAGCTTTCCGCCAGCGGTTTCGCCCGCGTGGCTCTGTATTATCCATATAAACCTTCTTTTTGAATCGGTATTTTATATCGATCAAGACCGTATTTAAATCCATTGTGCAGTTTTTCAGTGTAAAGACAGCGTTAATTACTTTGTTTATAAAAACTATGTAAATAATTTTATAAATGATGAGCTCGGTAGCAAAGTAGCTCGTATACCGGTTTCAGTGTGTCTCTGAGATACTGGGTTCGATTCACGGTGATTTCGGCTTTGTGTTATGTGGTACCTTCGTGGTTTCGAATTGCCATGATACAAGCTTGAGCTATTTAATTTGTGATCGGAGCAAAGTATAGGTGATCTAACATTTATTTATTTATTAATCATTTATTTTTTTAAGTAGGGATTCTAATCCTAGATGAATACCAAAAAAAAAACACTTTATCGACAGCGTTGAATACAACAACTTTGTAAAGAGCGAAAGGTGAATTATAATAATTGGCTCGGTAAAAATAAATCACAAAGAATAACCTCTGAACATAAGACATTTCATTACGACTTTGTAAGAAGTATATCAAAAGATCTGTCTTATGTAAGTCTAAAAAAACAGATGATTTGTTTTTGATATTATTTATAATTTTGAAATAATAATACTAAAAACTAAATATACTAACACTAAAAACAGAATATAAAAAATATTTAAGGGGCTCCATTACATGTGTATTTTTGGTCGACTATAATGAAAAAAACCTTTGCGAAACTACTACAACAAATGCGCTATAAAGAATTAATTCACGACATTACCATAATACATTACAACCATCACAAATATTTATTGGTCTCCGTAATTACTTTTAATATGAACTATAGTTTTTATACAATGAAACACTCCATATCTCTCCCGCTGCATAGACTCTTTCTTATTTTATTTTATTTCATAACAGTTTATTATTACAAATTCATTCATGTCTGCAGTCTTCTACTTAAGGACTGAACTATTGTTAGGTTAGTTAATTGCACTCATAAAGTTGTAAGGTCCACCTTGTTAAAAAAATATATCATTAATATACCTAATATAATAATTAGATCGTTAATTTTGTCTATTAAGCCATTTTTTTTTTGCCTCAAACGTATTTATTTAGCTATGACCGTCTAAATTAAGTATCTATTGTCGAAACAACTATGACGTCTTATATATGAAATGTATTTGGGAGAAATATATTTTTTTTTGTTATAATACAATTATTTTTAGATCTATAACTGTTTGGTTTAATATCTTGTTAAATATACATTGAATCGGTAATATAAGAAATTTATATTAATGTACGTTATTAGCTGGTATTATTTATACACAGCCGTCGGATATTGGATTCAATTGTGAAGTAACATTTATTCGGCTACATCATAATACATTATCTATCGAATTCATTAAAATTAGCGTTGTGTAATTAGTTGACACACGACTGCACGTTAGACTACCGCAATATGTTAAATGACAAATTTCCACAATTAATTTTAAGCTCGTTAAGGTTTAAAACAAAGTGGAGAAATTTGACAGTTTTCTATAACATGATGTGTTGTTGACTGTACATAAAACAGCACATAACGTTACAAAAGGCTAAAATGTAGTTATCAATTTGAACTTAACATTTCAAATCGATTGGCTCTCCAATCAAATTTTGTATAAACCTGAGGACCTATTTCTATTTGTCCATGAACGGAAATTTGGAAAATTTTGAATAGTTCTTATAATTTTTAGAATGATCAGAGGCAGTGTCCGGTCCTATCTCCGTTGCTTAATAAAAATTATCGAAAAATGCGTTTTATATTAATATTAGCATTTCGAAAATAGAAGAAATTACGTAGATTAAGCCTTTAGGGGTCAAGGGGTAGTTCGTATGTGTGGTATCTATTTTAGTTACGAAAATTAATTTAATTTGTTTTGTCGCAGTGGGCGTGGTCGGAGGCGGCATGCCCGAAGCCGCCAGCGGCGAGCGGCGGCACGTGCCGTTGTACGGCAGGTTGGTGGCAGAGGAGCAGCTTGCCTCGATGAGTGCACCATCTGACATACAGGTGAGCGCTACTGAGCGCAGCCCCCGAGCTTTCTGCCGCTGTAAACAGACTAAGGTAAATGATGCACGAGGCAGTTTGCCGGTCGCAACGTTGTTGGCCAGTTAATGGATTTACAAAATGTATGATTCATAATAAACAAATCTTGAAAATTGTGGTGCAGACACTTTTGATTAGGAGAAATGTAGGTCGATTATGCAATAGCAAATTAGTTATTGCCCGTTTGCTTAAATCGCATTGTATAGATATTTGTTTCTATATGTAAGTAGACTTGATTATTAAGTAACTAGCTTTCCGCCAGCGGCTTCGCCCGCGTGGTCTTGTATTATACATAAAAACATTCCTTTTGAATCACCCTTTCTATGAAAAAAAAACCGCCTTAAAATCCGTTGCGTAGTTTTAAAGATTTAAACATAAATAGGGATGTAGGGTTAGAGAAAGCGACTTTGTTTTATACTATGTAGTGATTATTGTACTTGCATAATTATCATTTTCAACAATCGATGTAAGTACATATACTAACTTGATATCTTCATTTTATAACTTGCTAAATTATAAAATACCTATTTAAATATTCAGCCGTCTCAGGCCTACAGGCTTTTATCAACTTTATAATAAAATTAAATCTAATCATAGAAATATTTCAAGGACGTCGAACGCTAGTACGGCTTGACAACGAAACCTAAGTGTATATAGTCGCAATCTAATAATAACCACCGTCATATATTTAAAAATAATATTTAAAAACTATGAGTCTCGTTTCGTATAATTTCAAAACTGTCTTTGGATTTCTTTGTAACGATTCCTTTTCCTGGCAGTTTGTTTTAACTGAATATTGCTTCTATTTAAAAAAAAATTTTGTTAATATCATGTTCCGTAGATTCTTTTCGTCAATTTTTAAAATTTTATTTCTAAATTAGTTAATTATGATGTCTGGAGAAATATAAAGGTATTACTAGTTTTCCGTAAATACCCACACGATATGGACCGCGCGGGTAATGTCGAGAGCAACATCCATTATAACTCAAATACCTGAATGGAAATAAAACTATTAATTATTAGCTCTTTGAACATTAATTAGAATTTAATAAATGTTATTAAAGAGGTTCATATAAGCACACAATTTAAAATAATCATATTAACTTTCAATATACGAAATATTGGATAATAGTTTTATGATAAGAAATGAAGTTGTAATAACACTTTCAAGATGTTTATATGTCGAAAGTGAAACGTTTATATATTTGTCGAGTCTTGAAAATAAATCTAATATAATTTGTTTGTATAAGATGAGGAAGCTGCATGTGAAAATATCATAAATCGTATTCATGTCAGCGTAACTCGGATCAATGAACAGACGTTTTTATTTACTATTATTTTTAGAGGCGCAAAGATACTAATTTTTAGTAGGATAGTAAAACAGTGAATATAAATAAAGAATGCGGTATGAGGATAATATAGTTCTTGGATGCGTGCAGTATAGGGATCGAGAGAAAGAATTCTAGAAACATACTCTTGAAAAAATACAGTTTTCATTCAGCAGAATATTGACGAAATTATAAAAATTCATAAATTACATTTTTTAATGTATTTGTCAACTTTTTGTGAGTCCACATTTGATAATGTTAAAACACAATATAACCAATAAATGACGAATCTCGGTAAATCGATTGTATGTTTTCTTCAAATTTCAATTAAAAGAGCTCTTAGTTAATAGCATTGGCACTGAACAAAGAAATCCAAATAAAAAAGCATAAGAAATATATCTTTATTTCATATAAAAACTCCGAAAGCTACTCATAAAAAAAATGTAATAACGTCAGTGTTCTGTAGAATGTGCGGCATGTTCTGTACTAATTTTTCTGCAATTAGGAATTGATTACCAAAAAATCTCAGATTCGGGCGGATAATCCTTTGTGGTCAATTGAATATACAGTATAATTCACAAACTGTCTCGTGTCTCACTCACCACTTATCATATTGTAATTGCACTTTTTATAAATATGCTTTTTATCTGATGATGTTTTGTTACTAAACCGTGTGTAATTGTGTTCATCCATCAATATTTTGTTGCATAATATCCATATTTTTTATTGCTGGATTTCTTTTTATTTTCATTAATACATGATTTACTGTGAATATATTCCCTATTAATATTGTTTAATGTAATTCCACAATCGAGTTGTATACTTTCAAAACACACTAAAAAGGTTTTTTTTTGTGAAATATCGACTTGCCGAATTTTGTTATTCATACTTTATTGACAAACTTTGCAATGAACATTAATAAGAATTTAGTGTGTTTTTATGCAACCTTTTTGGTGTATTTAAAAATGCAAATACCTTATAAAAGACTTAAGCCGTTTTTTAATATAAAAACTCTTTTTACGGTTTTGAAAGTGTACCCTTCAATTGTTAATTATGCTGCCGCTTCTTGTAAAGCCAAGCCTTGTTTGTTTACCCATTCGGTTAATATTGTTTTCTCGCTTGTACAGGCGATGCAAGCTCGAATACCACATCATTTTCGGGACCCTTCAACAGCACCGCTTAGAAAACTCAGCGTAGACCTCATCAAAACTTATAAACACATAAACGAGGTGAGTTTTAATATCTTTATCCGTTTAATTTGAAACTAATTAATAGTTCAAAATTGACTTATTGTGTGTCGCCTGTCTTATTCGTTTAAGATCGAATATCCGTCGTGTTACACCACGTGTTATGGGCGTCATGGTGGGTGGTAGTTATCCCACGCAGCAAAAAAAAGTCATTAAATTGTTTTACAGTTACAAATTCATCACTAACATGGCACTAGAATAAAAAGATTGGTATTAAAACATTAATATAGAGAGGTTAGCATATAAAAATATTTGATTAGTGTCGATTTTTCTACTGTCGTTTATTGAAAAAGTTAAAATATTATCTTATGTAAATTATGTTGTGGTTATCTTTTGAAAATTTTAATCAAATTTAGAAACATACTGGACCGACCAAACGTCCATTCTGTTTTGTATATAGGTGTATATGTGCAAATGCCATAAAAATGATTTCTATATTTGTGGTATACTATGTTGTTTTGTATGTTGGCACTTATCTAAGTGACCTTTTGACAATGTGGGCGAACATTTGCTTGTTTGGGGGCAGACGCTGCGTGTGTGGGAGTAAATGGATTACTCGGTTATAAAAAAAAAACTCTTTTATGACTAGCTAAATGAACGTGTTTTCTTTATGTATATAACTCATACGAATACACATGACACCTGAAGGCCCATTCTTTTCCTCGGACGAAAATTTGGAAAATTTCGAATAATATAATTGATTGTAAATTTGGACGGTCATAAACTGTTTTTTATTAACTTTCTTTTTATTGAATAGAAGCATTTTCAACTGCCACGTCGGCTATAAAATGTGTGTATGTGGTAGAAAGAAATTGGTAACGTGTCATAAGTCAAATTGACATAATAATGTATGACAGATGTCGTTATTTTATTAAATAAGAACCTAATGGATCAATCCCACCTTAACTTATTTTTATTATTTATTTATTTTTTCTTTTTACTTCCTGTTTCTCTTTTATAATTACTGTGTGTTATTTTAACACGGATATTCTTTTTTATATAAGATATTGTGCTCCGTGGTGTCATTGCTGGACTCGGCAAAATGTCAGTGCAGCGAATCCGGACTGCTGCTTATAGCTGAGTCCAGTGTTGGCATCATATAGCATTCACAGCAATTCCGTTTTTAACCTATCTTATATTCACCCATATTTAATGTTGTTGTGTATGTTATGTGGTTTCGACAATAAACTAGTTTTCTTTCTTCTTCCTATAATAATGATCTTGCTAAAATCATCTTCGCCAATTATATATACGCAGTGTCATGTTCTACCTTCGTTGCATTTTAAATTATTGAAAAATGGCTTTCTTTAGAGTCCTATTATGCATTTCGAATTACACGAAATTGCGATTACGGAGCGTTAGAATTGGCCTTTTTGTGTCTTGGTTTTCGCACGCGTAGTATGTATATTCTATGTTACATTTTTGATACGTTTTTCTCATCATCATCAGCCCTTTATTTCGTCCCCACTGCAGGAGCTCGGGCCATCCTTATGGATGGTTAAGGAGCATGGGCCATGACCCTCCACGCTGGCCCAATGCGGATTTTACGGGTATTCACGACTACAAATGCGGCCGGGATCAACGGCTTAACGTGCCTTCCGAAGCACGGGGTAGCTCGAGATTATAATTTTTTGGTGACCGACCCTTGCGAAAGTTTCTTCACGACAACGATCGCGTGCCGCGGCGCTTGTCCACTACGCCACCGAGCTACTTTATTTTTTCTATTGTCGATCAAAACAGTCAGCTGTGTTTTTGATCCTAATAACTAATATAATACTAATAAATAACTAACATTTAATAGAAGAGATAACATATTTTATATAATATCTTAAGCTATAAGACTGATAAAAAAAAATATTCCTTTTATCGCGTATATTAAAAAGAGACCGGTTAATTTTCAATGCAACTTTTTGTGAATGCGTATGTGATACTTTTAACTTGCCTGTCACAATAACTTTTACGTGCATTAACACTTTGAAATAATGTCATGTTAATAAAAAAAAAATCTCTTGGTTTGTTGAGCCGCTATCAGAGAAAACGTGGAAGTGTCATAATATTTGTTAACGTGCAAGGTTGACCTTTAGACACGTGGAACTTGTTCAATGGTGCGTTAGTTGTTTACCTCATTTTATCCTTATGCCTGAAATCTTGTTTCCATCTCGCTTACGAGCATATGTTTCGAACAGGAAGGAAACACCAAATGAACAGTTAACGAACTCGTCGTTTTCTATTTATTCGGTTGCAAGACTGCAAGCGTCACGACGGGCCAAGTTGTTTTCTAGAAAAAAAGAATGGCTTTTTTGACGCGTTAAATTTTAGTGTAACCGTTAATTGTTTTTACATTTTCAACATTGCGTAATAGTCATATTTATATTCTTATGTGGCACTAGTTTTTTACTCGAACTCGAAAAGAAAACGTGAAGAAATTGCGATAACTGTGAATGAGATAGAAGATCGTGATGACGAAATGTGTTATTTTCTTTTTTTCGCAAAAAATCGTACTAAAGAGAAACGTGTGAAAAGACAAATAATACCTTAAATTTTGCGAGCCGTCTCATTAGTTAAAAGTATAATAGCAATATCAGAAAATCAATTTTTATCTTACCATATATAATAAATATTTTTCTTGTAAATATCTAACAACGACCTAAACAAAAAATCTGTTGGGATATTTACTGTTTGTGTTACGATTTTTGAAGACGATTTTTTTTTTTTTTATTTCAAATTTGATACCCTCATTTCTGTTAACGTAGGTTAAAAATGTACAGGTCAAGGTCATCAATTTTAACTCCTTTTATAAGTTAACTAGCTTTTGCCCGCGACTTCGTCCGCATGGTAAAGTTACTTTGAGCAGCATTTCTAACGAATATTTATTAATTATATACCTGAAATAAAGTTTCATCCCCTAATTTACCCCCTTAGGGGTGGAGTTTATCAAAATCCTTTCTTAAGGGATGCTTACGTCATAGTAGCTTTATGCATGCAAAGTCTTAGCCCGATCGGTTTAATATTGACAAAGTTTCATACAAACTTTCATTCCCTATTTTATCCCCTTGGTGGAATTGATCAAAATCCTTTCTTAGTGGATGCCTACGTCATAACATCTACCCGCATGCCAAATTTCAGCCCGATCTGTCCAGTGGTTTAGGCTGTGCGTTCATAGATCACTATGTCAGTCAGTCACCTTTGAGTTATATATATTTAGATTATTTTTTTTACTCCTTTTATATGTAGCTTAAATTTTAATAGTTTATATCTTCAAAACTACTAAACTGATTTTGATGAAACCTGTAGTGTACCCTAATGTGAAAGCTAAACAATCAAACAATGCAAGAATCATTGCAATTTGTCATCTAGTTTCCGAGATAACCGTGGACAAACATACAGATATACATACTTACATACATACATTTATACAATTTTACACGTGTTTAGAAACCCATACATAACCAACATAGGTATATGAATGTTACGCCATTCCATGGAAAATACATACGTACACCTCGAATTGATAACCTTCTTTTTTAAAGTCTGTTATAAAGTAATTTCAGATTTATATTTCTATACCTATAAAATTATTGATAAAAGTAGAATTAAAAAGAAATTCCTAATAAAATAAGAATTTTATTAGAGTCGATAACATTAAAAGTTTTCATTCACTATAAATACTCTTTCAGAGAATCATGTCGCATAAGAGCGATCTACAATCAATCTAACAGACATTATAGTTCAATAAGAATAATCTGTACAGTTGTATAGAACCAATTGACTAATGAATGCTATGCGACATGGTTCCATGATTTATACGTGTGCTTTATAAGAATATACAGCAGTGGCAAGATATTATTTATTCGTCATGATCTATAATTTTGATAAACTCTGTCGTTTTATGATAATATCACATGCATAGTGATCTGTAATTTCCCTAGCACCTTACAATGTAAGTAACTTGACTTAATTGACGGTGACAATAGCTAGTTGTGTTTGTGACTTGACGGCAATAACAACTTTTAATTGGATACGAATATACATTCCCGGGGATTTGCTTTTTTATAATATAAGACACTAATCAATATATACATAGGTTTATTGTATACATTTGTTTCTTTGATTGCATTGAATAGACTCCGAAACTGGAGCGATTTTAAAGATTACGTTTTTATTTCACGAATCTTTAATGCGATTGAATAATAACACTTTCGTTTCGTTTTATTCCTCAATGAATCCTTTTAAATAATAAAGAGCCACTCGTGATGTTACTTACAATCTCTAAATGGTTTCAATACTTCTAGTACCATAATATTTATCTCGCAGAGTCCGGTGTTTATTAAACGTTTTACATTGAAAACATCAAACAAAACTCTTACCCGATGTTATTTCTGATTTTAAAATATACTTCTCTTTAGAGCCGCTGTAATTAATCTTTGAGGCACACGTGGAGTTCTCCCCCACTCTCGTTTCGTATTTATTTTTAAACCTGAATATTAATAGAATATTGTCTTATGCTATTTGCGTTCCGTTCGCGGTTCGTTGCCCTATTTGGTGGTATGTTTACATGGCTTTTTGCCAGCTTACCTCTGACGTGTTCTGTGTGTGAATTCAAATTGCGTTTGTTGTAGGAGCATCAAATGATTTGCAACCTTGAAATCCTGAAACAAAGGATTGTCCATTAATGAAACTGTAATGTAGAGCGATTATTTTTCATAGTTGGTTAAGTATATATAAGTCCTAGTCCATAGCGTCTTATAATAAAACGAGGACTAACTTTAGTATCAGATTTAAACCATTATCCAAACAAAATAAGTGAATACGTCTCAATGTAACTTTTACTCTTCCATCATTGTCATTTTTCTCTAGGCGGCCTATAGTCTACTTCATGGGTGGCCAGTCGATCGCGACTATTAGTCCAGTCGATCGTGGTAATTCAAAAAATATAAATACATAGAACACACCGCGCAACGTTATTTAAGAAGTAATTGGTA